ACAATTTTAAAAGAATAATCTTGATCATTGAAAATCTAATAAAAAAATTATTGATTATTTAAAACTCGTTCTATTAATCATTAAATATTAATAAAAGTCAACAATAAATCAAATCTTCTTATCTTACAGTTTAAATCGTATCGTTTCTCCGTTAGCTGGCCACGAATTCTACCAACTGGCTTCTCGAACAAGATCAGTGAAGATGGCATTCGATATTACCATAATCTCATCGATGAATTGTTGGCAAACAATATCGAACCTATGATGACGCTTTACCATTGGGATCATCCGCAAAATTTGGAAGACGCGGGTGGCTGGTTGAACTCAAATATGGTCGATTGGTTCGGTGATTATGCGAGAATTGTGTTTTATGAATTCGGTTCGAAAGTGAAACGATTCATTACGATAAACGAGCCAAAATCCATATGTCTGGACGGCTATTCGTCCGGTATAAACGCGCCTGGCAAAAAATTTCACGGTATCGGCGAATACTTGTGTATGCACAATGTAATCAAGGCGCATGCAAGAGCCTACAGAATTTACGAGAAAGAATTTAAGAAGAAGTATAATGGCCAAGTTGGTTTCTTGATCAGTATAATGGCATACATACCTAGGAATTTGTCAGATGCGTATGCTGCGGAAGTTGCTTTCCAGTTCAATGTCGGCTGGTGTCTGCATCCAATTTACTCGAAGGAAGGTGATTACCCAGAATTGATGAAGAACATGGTGGGTAACAAAAGCTTGGAGCAAGGTTTCACGAAATCTCGTTTACCTACATTTGAGTCAGATTGGATTGAATACATACGGTATTAGATAATTTCTTTTGTTAAAGTTAAAGTTTTCTTAAAAATGATGATTTTATCTCAGAATATCTTACGATATACTATTAGATTAATCGTGTCTTGATTTCATAATTTATTGTTAAAAGATACGGTCAATATGTTTCATACGTAATTATAAGTAATTTAATAATTTCATAATTTAATTTAAATTATTTAATATTTTAATTATATCAATATATAATAAGATCTTTATTCTAAATTTCTGATTTATAAGATAATATTTTTAAAACATTTACAAGATTGATTACATTAAGATATTTTTATGTATTATTTGAATAATCATGCAGGGAACATGACTGATGAGAGAGAACATTTTAAATCGAGTATTAATTCTTTTTATACAGAGGAAGCTCTGACTTCTTGGCTGTGAATCATTATACTTCAAGGTTAGTTACACTTGGTTCTATGGGACAGTTACCATCTCAAAAAAATGATGAAGGAGTGAAAGAATTCACGGATAGTTTCTGGAAGTCGTCAGCATCAGATTGGTTAAAAGTATGCAAAGTTTACATTATAAATTCTTATAAATTTTTTATTTGAAACTTGAATCGTTCATATAACAGAGATTCATACATGATATTGATACTAAAAAAGAGCTCAAACGAATTAATGAAAAAAAAATTTATCGAGTTATAACATTTAAATCTAAAAATATTATGTCGGCAAGTATATAAAGATCTTTATATTGATTAAACTAACGTGTTACAATAATCATTGGTTCCAGGTTGTACCTGAAGGTTTCCGGATTGCTCTGAAATATTTGGCAACATATTATGGAAATCCTCCAATGTATATCACTGAGAATGGTGTTTCCGATCTTGGAACACTCAACGATGATGATAGAATCTATTATTATCGAGAATATTTAAAACAGATGCTTCTCGCCATTTACGATGATAAGGTAAATGTACAAGGATATTTGTTGTGGTCCCTTATAGACAATTTTGAATGGGCCAAAGGATATCGGTAAGTAATTATATATTAATTTATATTAATTATGTCTTATTTAAATTTTTTATACTATAAAATATCTTAAAATTGAATTAACTTTATTACACTATTAAATTAATAATTATTTGGTTCATTTATTTAGAATTTTATTAATGTTTTGAAATTTTTTTTTTCTTATGAAGATATTAAATCAGAGATTAGTATGTTTTATTAGAAACTATTAAATTAATTACAAGAATTAATAATTTTAATTTTTAGAGATCGTTTTGGTATTGTATACGTCGATTTTAATGATCCAAATAGGACACGTATATTGAAAAAGTCTGCTTCCTGGTGGCAAAAAGTTATAGCTGCTGGAAAAATTGATACATCTTAAATTATCTTGACTTATCTGCAAGAAAATAATAAAATATAATATATATTATAATTCTCATGAATTTGCCAAATATTAATAATGTTTTTGAAAATTACCGTTAATATAAGCACAACTTATATAATTTTTCTTGTTGTAAATTATAAATTTTAATTGATATTCTTAGTAAAATTATTAACATGTCAATATTTAATATATTTTTCTTCTATAAAATTAATATATATTATATATGACTTCATTTAAAAATAGCGATTATCTAAAAAAAGAAAAACGTAATGTCTCTGAAAGGAAATAGTCCTTCAAATAATATTTATACTTTGTTCTTATTTTATCATTGTACATTTTTATACTTGCTTTACTTTAAAAATCGGGCAGGATAAAATCAGCCGAGCCTAAAGTCGGATCTTGAAGAAAATCTTTGTTCCCCCGAGTAAATATTAAGCAGATAGTACGTGTGTATAATATATGCAGAGAGACTGGAAATCTGTGCTTTTGAATCCCCACGTGAAGGATTAACTATCCGTAGTCTATTCGGAACTGAGAAAATTTAGAGCACTTTAAGGCCGAGTGGTGCTATATCCGGTTAATTATATCAACGAGGAGGAGAAAAAAGAATTGGTAAACGATTCGAAAAAAGAGTGACAGAAGCGTGGACCGACGAAAATAAAGAGAAATTAGCGAAGAAAAAAATAAAGGAAATACGTTGGATAGGAAGATAAAAAAAGATTGCTGGCGTTAAATATTCCACACGTCCACATTTAATCCTTTTCGTAATATTCGTGAAGTGAGTTTTTCCTAGTTTTTAACGATGTAAACAATTATACTTTTTAAAATAATAACGAAAGTTTTTTGTTCATTAATAACAGTGAATATAATATATAATAGAGATACAATGATTAAAGATATTATTTAATAATAACTATTTAGATACATTTGATTTAATAATTAAGATGATAATGTATTTTTATTTTTGTAAATCGAATTTTAGACATTCAAATAGTAATAAATTGCTGCTGAGTTATGAAAATATATTATTTTAGAACTTTTTTGAGGCTCATAGATAGAATGAGTAAAATTTTTAAATATATTTATTGATTATTATTTTATTTTATTCTGTTTCTATTATATTATATGATCAATTAATAGAAAAAAGATTGAGAAAAATTCTGATATATTACATTTAATTTTTATGATATATTATACTTTAAATTTTTTAAAAAATAATTGT